CCGGCGGGCCCCGTGCTCCGGGGGGCTCCCAGGCCTAAGCCACGGGCCCGGCGGCCCTGCCTGTTACGTCCCCAGCGGCAGAAACGTGAGGTTCCCCTCCGTGTCCAGGCCCAGCCCCCCCCGCTCCCGGCTCCTGCTGCGGCCTAGCTCCGGGCACCCTGCTGAGGTGCCGTCTTCGAGCGGTGAGAGCGTCCTCTCCGGAGCCCTGCTGTTGTCAAAGCACAAAGCCTCCTTCTGCTTGACCAGCATGTTCCTGGGCAGGCCGCCAGGGGCAGGGGGCGGGGAGTCCCTGCCGGCTGAGCCAGGGGACAGGTGCTCGAGCTCTGCCGACTCCGAGTCGTCCGTGGCCAGTGCCTGGGAGTCACTGCCGCTGTTGTCCTCCTCCAGCGGGCTCTCGGCTTCCTCCGGCTCCATGTCTGACTCGCCCTCCTCCTCCTCCAGTGTCAGCTCAAACTGGAACTTCCGGCCCCTCGGGCGCCAGGGAGGGGCTGTGCGGGATCATGCTCTGGTACCACTCCCGGTTGTCCTCCAGTGTGTCCAGGATCTCCTGGGCGTCGGGGTGCACCAGGTCGGCCCAGGTCTCCCACAGCGGGTGAGCGATGTAGTCGATGAAGCCCACCTGTGAGAAAAGGCGGCGCTGGGGTTACGGGGCACGTCCCCACGGGGGCAGCACCCCTGCCCCGGAGAGTCCTGCAGTCAGGCCCAGTGTCTCCATCACCTTCTCCCATCCAACTCCCACCCCCGGGGACCTGCATCGGGGTGCACCAGGTCGGCCCAGGTCTCCCACAGCGGGTGAGCGATGTAGTCGATGAAGCCCACCTGTGAGAAAAGGCGGCGCTGGGGTTACGGGGCACGTCCCCACGGGGGCAGCACCCCTGCCCCGGAGAGTCCTGCAGTCAGGCCCAGTGTCTCCATCACCTTCTCCCATCCAACTCCCACCCCCGGGGACCTGCCCTGGGACGGGGCTCGGTTGATTTCCAGAGGGCCCAAGGGCGACTCCAAAGTCCCTGGCGCGGCGCCGGCTCCTCCCTGCTTTTGCCAACAGCGGGGTAGGCCCAGGCTGCCTCCCCACCCGGACCCCTCCCCTAGAGCCCGCACGCACGCTCCGCAGCGTTCTCCCCTCTGGCCATGCAGCCGGCACAGCCACAAGGCCTCGGGGGGTGGGAGCACA